GGAGAGGATGAATGAATGTGTGAGATGCCTCTTCTTATACTAATCCTATTGGATCCCATCCTATGACCTTGTTTAACTTTACTAACTTCCTTAAAGGCCCCATCTCCAAACTCTGCCACACTGAATGCTCAGGCTTCAGCATATGAATCTGGTGAGGGTGGGGAGGGACACAGACTTTCAGTCCATAACAGATGGCAATTGATGTATTGGTCATGGTTGGAAACTCTAAGGTGACAAGATGCGGTTAGAGAAAAGGTCATTCAACCAAATCATGAGAAGATTTAACACTTACTAGAATATGCTTTCTTCTTTCTCTTTTCTTATATTTCCTTTTAAGATTTTTACTCTAAACTTTTGTTTTTTTCCTAATAGTTGAGCTCATTTTATATTAAGATAAATTTCTGATTTGCTCTTATTTCTATAATCTCACATCCACCCTCCACTATGTATCTCTTTACCCTGAGATGAACTCATTAAAAATGAGGCCATTCATTTTTGGGTTATTTCAGATAGTTCAGTAAATTATCTTTAGTTCTTATTTATTGGCTTTGGTTGGTTCCATTGGTCAAAATAAAACAAACAAATAAGTTACTCTGCAAGGTGAACAAGGAAATAGAACATATACTTGCCCATCCACAGACTACTTTACATACTGCATTGCTTCAGAGATTTTGTTATTCTCTAAATAAACACTGTGAGAGACATTAAAGCATAATGAGCCTTCACAGTGTCTATCATTAGCTTGCATATATGATAATATTTGAACAAATTCATTATCAGGTACAAAGAGAGCAGAAGGAAATGAGATGGGAAGACCAAGGGACTATCTGGAAAAATATCTAAAGATTTTTGTCCATAAGATAATTACATGATTTTTTTTGAAACAGAAGACTTCCATCAGGAGCAAATATTGTTCTGTGGTTAGGAAAAAATCTGGCAAGGAGATGTTCTAAGTGGATGCTGGATAGAACTGGAAAAACAAAACAAGAACAACGGAGGAGAGACCTGAAGAAAAGATAAAGTCCTGAGGATAAGAGGAAAGATAGAAATAGGAAACAAATGAAAACTAGAGTTTATCTCAGAGTAATATGTGTATCATTGCCTAATTCCCTTCTCTCCCTACTCTCATGGATGAACTCAAGCCAAAAAAAAAATGCAGAAAGAGAGATTTAGATATAGTTGTAAGGAATATTTTCTGAGAAAAGTTGTTAAACACTGTAATAGGCTCACAAAGGAAAGTCCAGACTTCCTTTCTTTGGGTATTCTTAAAAGAAAAACAAGTGTTTTTTTTTTTTTCATTTTCCCTGAAATGTGGCTCCATTCCAATAGACTTGAGAGGAGATATAAATTAAAAACAAACAGAAAATGACTAGTCATTATTCACCATTAGAGCTCTGATGTTATAAAAATAGCAATAATAGTAAAGAGCCATTATTCTCTTTCTCTTCACTTAACTAGGCATTCATTTCCTCAGTTCTTTCCAGTAGATCTATTGAAAAAAAATTATAAAGAACAGTATTTGTTTAATGCCACAGCATAGTTTTAGGATGTGAATGAAATGTAAAGTACCATGAGAGAAACTTTAGAATGAGAAACCATATAGTCAAACAGACTAAGTAGGCCAGTGCTAATGATTATTCTGATGTTTCCTTTTGATGTCACATGAAGGAAACAAGCAGCAGCTACGTATACATGTTATATCAAGATTCTCTGCAGGAAGAAAAAAAATGTAGGTGCTTCAAGCAGACAGGTGTTTAAAATGGGGAATTAGGTAATTACAAAAGCATTGTAAGTCTCTGACTAGCTGAAATCAAGGGGCTGTCACTAGGCAGCTTGCCCCACTTCCACAAAGCTAGAGGCTACAAAGGAGAACCTGGAGTCAGACACTCCAACATTCAGTTGTCCAGAGCTTGACTATTGAACAGAAGAGCTATAGCTTCTGCTTTCTAAACCTCACACCAGGTCATCTCATCAGTGGAACCTAAATTACATCCAAAATTCCAGCTGCAAAGAATTCTGGGAAAGGTGGTTTTTATTCTTCCATTTCCCATGATTGGGAGGATGTTTAGAAGGTGGTAAAGATGACTATTGAGGTCCAATAGACAATAAGTCTTGCCAGTCTGTTGTTAAACACAGGCACATACAAACTTTAATGAAATAAACTATATTGAAAACAAAAGTAATAACTATTCAAAACTCATCACTTTCTAATTATCTTACTACATTTTAATATTATTATTTATGTTCTTAAAGTTATTCAGATCAATGGAATCTCTATGATTGAAATACTATATGATATTGTGCTATGATCAACTCCAACTTCATATTCATTGATATAGCTTCAAATCAGCCATGGTGGGAGTATTTATACTACAGAAATTGACAAACAATACAGACCTGGGTCACTTCCCATCCCCAACCCTACAGAGCAAGTGGTTAAACATTTACCATCACTATTTAAAAGTATTAGAAGAGTTGTGCAATAAGGAGAAAAATAAGGTAATTAATACATTTTCAGGCAGTTAGAATAGGAAGGTCAAAACTGGAATGGTGATTCATGACCAAGAAAAACATTGGGAAGTAGGAAATAACCAGTAGATAATTAAAATTCAATGAAATACCTATTTTTTAATTGGTTGGGATCTATCATTTGGAATCTTAGAAATTATGATATTTAATTTCAGTACTTAGGCTAATCTGGTCAATCTCTGGGAATTCCAGGGCCACACATGGTCCAAAGAATGTTCTCTAGGGGTCAGTGATGATTGGAAACCCTTTTAAATTATGATACCATTTTGGAAATATTTGTGGAAGTGTAACAGCTTTGGAGGGAAGGATGTGTGCTTTGAATAGATGGAGAGAAGTGTGTGTGGAGGGGGGCCTTTTAAAGAGTCCCTCAGCAGCACAGGTATGGCTGGAGACAAGGAATTGACCAGCTACTTTATAAGCAATGCAGGAGTAAACCAAGGGTGTGGCCACAGTATAAGAAGTTATAGGCAACTTAGACTCAGGTAGCAATGAATAAATGTTGGAGACTACTGAGGCAGCCTAAGAGCCAGGAAAGAGGAACTCCAAGTGCCACGCAAATGCAATGTGTCCTACTTTTACCTCTATATAATCTCAGATCATGTGATTATTTTGTCATAACAATCTTTACCTGAAGTATCTCATCAGGAATCAAACCTCAAATTATATCCTGTGTGACTGAAAGGCTTATCAAGCATTCCACCAAGAAGAGTAAAAACAGAAAGGTTTTGTGAATAATCTTATATTCAAAGTACTCAGATTCCTTAATTTAGTCTTTCTACTAGTTCCCCCAACGTAAAACAAATGTTTTCAACATAAATAATTTAGGGAACACAGGATAACCAAAGGGACTCCAAATTATTCTCAGGGTGCTCAGAGAAGTCATCAGAAGAATTTGGGTATAAGAATGGGACATAACCATTAGTCTACTTCGGTATACTACAAATAGACATCAAGTGTGGGTTAACTCCAGCTTCTCAAGGACCCTGTTCTTACTGTTCTGCCAGACTACCAACCAGAGTTAGCTGTGTTTTTGAGGCTGACACAAAAATTTTTTTCTTTTTTAAATTGCTCTAAAGAAAAAATATCACTACCTCCTATAGGGAGAGAAACAAAATTTTATCTTTCCATCTATGCTATTTCTTGTTAGCATTGGAGTATTCAACTATTCACAGTGCTTCATATTATGAATTAGAATGTTGATGTGTGTTAAATTAGGATAAAGCAACTTAGGTAATGCTTTAGATTAACATTGTAATTTAGGAAGCTTGCTTGAAGATTGTCAGAGAAAAACCTAGGGAAATTAGATGAAAGATTCCTAGGATAAGTATGGTTTCTATAAACAGAGTTGGTGCAATGGCATAAAAATTTTATTCTGAAAACAAGTATTCTTGATATATCTCTGTAGTTAATATAAAAACTTGAATTATAAGAAAAGGACCTTGTACTTTTGGAGTCCAGTAAAATAAAAATCATATTGCACCCTAACATAATTAGTATTTGCCAAATTAGTTCTCCATTTGATAGAACATGTGGGATATTAAAGTAAGTCTAGATCGGTACACTATTATACTTATATAAAATGAATTAATTTTCTTAGATTAACTGCTAAGATTAATTTTCACTTAAAGGGCATTTAAAACACAAGATTTATTATTCAATTTTACATCTAGAAAGGTTTACGAGAAGCACTGCAGATTTAATATAGTTCAATAGTCATGCTCATGATTAACCATTTA